ATTACCATCCAACGTCGCCCAGCCCACTGTTGGTCAATGTCAATGTAGGTGTGTACATCGGCACATCTCATAGATGGGGCTCAAACAGAAAACGAAGAAAGGCCGATGACTCCGGCCATCGGAGCCTACAGTGATCACTTGAACAACCATAGTCGGTCCCATTACCACATACCAATATAATACTCAGCTCCATTGATACGCGGTTCGCTGCGTTAAATCAGGTAAAGCCAGTATCGCATGTATCTAATATCAATTACTATTTAATAACTATTGGTATCATCTCATCATATTATTTGCCTTCGCCTAACTCATTAAACCACCAAAACTTGCGAACCCTGGCCAGCACGACGCTTGCGTGTGTCGCATGACAATCCTTAGACATAATTAATCAAGAGTCATCTCGATCGTCTCAGAAGTAGTTTGTTTGCACCCTTTGCTAGACTAGTCGCCCGGTCAACAAGGCGTTGTCTCAACGATGGAATGGCCTTGATGTCGATAACACGAGCCATTAGGTACGTCGACCCTCTTTTGTGCGCATGCTTTGTTCACGAGTTGGTCTTCCCATCTCTTCATCAGCAGGTCGCGATCTTTTGCTTCCGAAAAAACTCCCACCGCTCCCACCTCGTCGATCGTCGTGGACTCGGGCTTGTGTCGGTTGTGATGGCCTAGGAGGCTCTGGGGGCGCGTGTTCAACACCATCTGCTTGAGCCGCATGGTCACGTTGGCTGTTCGGCGAGGCATTGAATCGGTCAAATTCGTCCGGATCACTAGGGTCAACGTCGGGAATTGGCATCCCGCTTTGGCGAAGATTCTTCTTGCCCTTAGTTCGAAGATGATCCTCTAGCAGCTTCGCGTTTCGGGTATTGGCAAGGACCATGCAGTCAAACAGATCGCCGAGGAAGGGAATCAATCCAACAATCAGATCCAAGAGGACCCAAAAATACATTTGGAGCTTTAGGCTGGATGGTAAACCGCCATCAATTTCTTTGGCGGTTCTGACGACCATTAGAGCCAAAAGCGCATCCATAACATCCCCGGCTCTGGAGCACGGCTGTAGTTAGTAACTTGATCAAGTACTGGACGAGTCGATGGACAAGACGTACATTGGGACGATACCGATTACACTGCCCCAGCCCACCTTCAAACCTAGAAATGTACCGAAGTTCATATCCAGCTTGTAAGCTCGGCGCTTCACTTTGGTCAAGACCTTGGCATCGTGTTCCGTCAGGCCAGGCGGTAGGGCTTTGCGGACTTTCTTGAATTTCCCATTAGGCTTTCCATCCAGTCGCGTTGCGGGCACTTGTTCGAAGTAGACATCCTAGAGTAAACGTTTCGTTAGCTATCGACGAGCCACAATTCTGAGTTACGATTCTACCAGAACGGCAGTGGTGCACGAGTAGGTACTGACTTCGAGCCCGAACTTGTTCTCGAGCTTCTCCTTGAAAATCTTTTTGCCGACGAACTTGCCGACGAAGGCAGCCATGACGGATAAGTAGTGATCGGACAGTAAACCTTAGGATTTAGAAGAAAGCGATGATGTAGATAGACAAGTGACCGAACGAAAGCGACGGGGACTGCAAGCGGGAAAGTGCTGCTAGATATGGACTTAGGGAGATACCCGCTTTTCCTGCCAATCCGTACAGGGCGGCCTCATCAACTGGGTAGAGCGACTCAGTAGGCGGTTTCAGATAGCGCGCATCTACAAAGCATGCGAGGTCGTTGGTGGTTCTGGTAACTGGAAGCACTGGGAAAAGGGTTGAGCACAAGACATTGGCATTTATCTCTTTTATTGCTTCCAATGACGAAAGCTTCCATGCTGGTTACAATCTGAGCGCAATGCCCAGGGCATTTCAAGTTTCTGCAAGGTGATCGATCACCTTGGCCACGTCGATGCCAGTCTAGCTGCAGTTGACGGCAATCCAAGACCAGGAAAACACAGCAATTACGTCAAACAAGAATTGTGCTACAACCCCCGGCTCGCACCGAAAACTCCGTCATGCATGCATGGGACGTCCAGTAGGTACCGTCATTGGTGGGCCGAGTCAGGTCTGGATGCTACCTACCGGGCTCTAAGTATGCCCTGTTCCTATGTAGGTACGTTCTCTGGCTACAAGGGGGTACGCTAGGACAAGTTCGACAGCTTGTGGCGCTCCAGGAGCTGAGGCTGTGCACCACCTCTGCCTCCCTGTCCATCATACTACATGTCATACTATCTGGGTAGTCTAGTGGAAGGCCAAGGTGGCTATACTTACCTCACCAGATAGGTATCTATCTAGGATGCTGGAGACATACAATCTCGACCTCTATCTAGCTACTTACCTACCTCCCTGAGACATATGCCAGATAGATATGGCTCCAAGCAGCACAATCACTCACCATACCTACACGAAGGAACCAGAGTTACAGTCAAATCATGCCATAGTAAAATTTTCACATATCTACAACGATAATTCCTCTCTGCTATGCCTATCCAAATACCGCTCTAACTTTCTGATAGGGAAACTTTTTTGTCCCCTTCTGGTCAGTTCCAAACATCACTGCTGGTAATCTCTTGTGTTGAAGCAAGGAATGGAGCTGGGCCGAAACGAATCGCTGGCTGGTGTACTATGCCTGCTCTCTGAATTTCCAACACCTATCAGCGTGCCAAGGAGGAAGCCCTTCTTCCCTCACAATCCTTCAGGATATTAGTAGCAGTTCATGTTCATTGTTCTGGGGATGTGGTGATAACAGGGGAATTTGACGATGATACGATATTTGTTACGTTGTTCGTTTCCGGGGCAGTTATACGCCCTCACGCTGCCATCCAGTCTGTGCTTTACGCCGAGCTGTTCCCGTGGTCTTCGTTCCCACGAGCCACGACGCGACGAGCACAAGAAAACCACCCATGATGACGACAAAGCCCGCCCAAAGCTGCGCCTGGAGGAAACTGCCATCGTTTGCGTCAATGATAGCACCCATAGTCGGCGGCCCAGAAAGCGCCGCAAACCCGCAGATAGCGAAGACCATTCCTATCCAGGTGCCAATTTTCGTCACGTCGTTGACCAAGCTACTGGCTGCGCCAGGGAAGACTCCTTGAGCAGCTCCGTTGATAAACCCCATCGCAATCGAGTAGACATACATGCCTGTCCTTTCGTGAACTCTAATCCAGCCGAAAGTAGTAACTCCGAGAGCGATTGAAGTCAGGCCTAACGTGTTAATAGGACCGATGTAGCGATCAGCAAAAAGACCGAAAAGAGGTCGTGCTGGTACGGCAACGGCGTTGGTGATCAACAAGAAATTGACGGACTCCAGATCACTGAGACCGATAATCTCGCGCGCAAAGGAGTTGATCTAGTAGTATTAAGATTGTCATGGTTAGCCAGCTGAACACTGAGTCGAAGGCATAACTGCCACAAGATGAAAAACTCACATAAATCATCAGAGTAAAGATGGAGAAATACAACAAGAAACCCCCAGCGGTGAAAATCGTAAAAGGCCAGTATCTGAAGGCATGCCAATCCACTAATGGAGCCCGCGTCCTCCGCAGCTTCCGAGGTCTGAGGAGAAGAGACCCAGTCGTCACCATGAAGAGTGAGATGAAACCGCAAACCCGGACTGCCCACGGAAGACCTATGCGCGGCGTAAGGTATTGGATGATGGCCGGAAAGAGGATAGCACCGAGGCTCGAACCGCAAGCGTTGAGCGACATGGCAAACGTTCTTCTCTTTCGAAAGTATGTGCCGACATTGGCGATGCCAGGCATGAACATGAGACCCCCTCCTACACCACTGCAAAACCCTTGTGCTAGCAAAAGTTGCCAATAATCCGTGGCCAGGCTCGTCATGAACATGCCCAGTACGCCTATAGCCCCGCCTGTAACATACAGAGCACGCGTATAGCCAGCATCTGAGAGTCTTCCCGAGATCGAACCTACAACGAAGTATAGAAACAACTGAACGGAGCCGACCCAAGATATTTGAGCAGTCGGTAAATTCATAGTTTGCTTGTAGTAGAGCTGGAATACAGCATAGGCTGTTCCGTAGCCCCAGGACATGGCAGTTCCCAAACACGCTGGAAGGACTTGGGACCACGCTACCCACCCCCCGTCCGGTGGCTCGTCTTGGTGAGAGGAAATCGGTACTATGCTGTCTTCGCGCTGAGCTACGATGCCATTTTCGTCCTGAGGCAACGGCACGATAGCTTGCTTCTCGACTACCTGTCCCTCGGTCATTGCATCCAACTTATTCACGATAGTCCAATTTTGAAGATGCAAATAGGACTGGTGGGGCTTTCGTCGAAGAGTATATTATGCCAGATAATAGCACTTTCTAATTCAAAAGTTAGCGACGGTAAGGGGTTGATTGTTTGTAGTCTCTTGGCCTTCTCTTGATTATTTTGACGTATAGTTACAGGCAGAAAGTTTCCTTCCGAGGTCGCATTCACAATTCGCCCCTTGCACACTGGAAAATTACAGAGTGACGCTGGAAACCCCCCATCGGATTTTCCATCATTTAACGCGGTTTCCTTTCGTGCGATACGGTCCCGAGTGCCGACGGGAATGAGGTACCCAATGCATGTTGACACGGTGCATCCCGATGTCCATCCAGGATCAACAGCGGAGGTGCTCCGTGATGCAATCTGGTATAAGTACAGCATGCCGATGACATTGATACAGTACGGAGAGAACAGCAATCTCTAACTATACTTGCATGCTGTTTTCAGCTCGATCATCAAGTACGATCTTCATACGTTAACTTACCACGTAGGCCGGAGAGGCCATCGGCCCATGCAATGCTTAATCCTCCGGTAATCCACCATCGGTCGCCCTGTCGGAGCTTACCCGTGCCTGCACCACTATCCTGCCTTGGTCCCCCGCTTTCTGCGAAGCGGGACCTCTAACCTCTAGGTACCTGGAGGTAGTCGGGCCAGTGAAATATAGTCAGGACGATCATCGGTCCCGCTCTTGAGATTGTGTACAGTAATATGAATTAGGATAAGGACAAATTTGCCACAACGAGTCAAGTCGCGTGGTGTAGTTGGTTATCACGTATGTCTCACACACATAAGGTCCCGTGTTCGAACCACGGCGCGACTATGCTTTTGCACTATATTTTTGCTCTTTTCCAGGCTCACTCCATGTGTCTGCAGCTACGAGATACTCTTTGATGATTTTTTTCCAAATTTATCAATGCCAGACAGGCATACAGACGACATTGGCTGCAGTGAGCTTCTCATAACACACTATGTAAACAATTATGCTGCTACAAACCTGCTGCAGAGCTATAATTGAAATAATCCCGTGAATATCTTTTTTTCGACCTACAGTCTCTTCGCAAGTTCTTCTCAAGGGGGTCAATAAGCATTTGCAGATCGCATCGATCTAGCTTGGCTACATTTGTAACTCTCACATTAATCACTGGCTTTGAGGGCTGCAACAAATGCAGCATACCTGAACGGTTCCGTCGTTGAGTTCTGGGTCGGACAAGCTGTTAATGTGCATGGGACTGTTGCGGTTATGATTAATAATAAATGGCGGCACCTATTCTGTTTGACAATACCTAAATCACGAGAGTGTAAGAAATAGAAGCGTTCTATTGCCCAAAACAGGCACGAGAAACCCTTTGGGTTGGTATCAAGGTAGAGCTATTCCAAACGAATACTAGCCCTGCAAGATCACAGATGTTTCTCTTAAAATTCTAGTAATTATCGCGAGGGTCTACTAGTATCATTGATCCCAGGGGAAACCCAGTGCCGGAAACGATTCATGGGGGGGCTAAATGGCCATTGCTGTAGGGTGAGGAGTCTTCGTCCAAGTTAGGAGTCATAAAGCACTCATGCTCATCTTATGACACCAGAGTACAATTTACATATTTTCTAGATTACTTTTGAGAAAACTGAAGGCAACAATTTTACTTTCATGGAGACAGTTTGACCAGTTTGAATATACAAAACAAGCACAGATCACTGGAGTGCAGTATTGTTGACGGAGACTGAAAACCTATTTCCAATAGGGAAAAGTCCGACATTCAGTCCGGATTTCCAAAATATTTCAGGTTTTCATCTTCTTTACATGTCGATCCATGGGACCCTGTTGTTCGCCACTCTTACTTCTTGAATGTTTACCCCCATTGGTCTTCTTATGGTCAGCGTCGTCCGCATGTTCCCCATCATCATCACTCCCAGACACCTCCTCCATCTCCGTCTCACCAGCTGCCTCGAACTTCTTCTTCCACGACCCATCCTTGACTTCACGATCGTTCCCATGGAGCCCGATCGAATATGCAGTCTTCATCGCCTGGATGCAGATCTGCCTTCGCTTACCAAAATCAAACATCGGCTCGGGATACGTCCCCATACCGGATTTACCTGTGCCATCGCCTTGGATCTTGACACCTGCTCTATCTAATGCTGCCTTCGGCGCTTTCCAGGGCTCGTAAATATACTTTGCGTCCAGATTCTTCAGTTCCGGAATCCAGTGACGGATGAAGTCACCATTCTTATCCCATTTCTGCCCGAAAGCAACTGGGCTGTAGCACCGGTAGTATTGTGCGAAGAAGGCGGTGCAGCTCAACCATTGCCAATTGCCTGCGTTGCATGCAGGTTCGTGATCAAGGAGTAGCTCTTCGAAAACATCTGCGCCTCGCTCCCAATGAACATAGCACCCACCCCTGGTCAAGAAGCAGGCCAGCATATGTCGGCCCAAGTGATGTATCCATCCTTCCTTCTTCAGCTGTTGCATCAATGCATCCACGAACGGAAAACCTGTCGTCGCGGACTTCCACCGCTGGAACCAGTGATCGGCTTGCTGTGAATCGACGTGATATTTGCCACTGATGGCTTTCACACCTGTCTCAGTATCCTTATCCGTCTTCGAAGGCAGATGCCAGGGAATAAATCGAACGTAAGGATTGTTGAGAGTCTGTACGAACGGAGAACCGATCGCGGCCTGGGCTGCGAAGTACATATCACGAAACAAGAGCTGTCCTATGAGGCTTTCGGGGGGCTTGGATGCTCCGCTTCCGTAAGCATTTACCACCTCTTGCGTGCGCCAATAGAATAGACGAGGTGAGAGTGTACCGAAGTGCATGCATGGTGACAGAAGGGTGGTGGCTTGAGGCTCAAAGGCTGTGGGATTGGTTTTTGGTTTCTGAAATGTTGCCGTGTACTTTTTATCAGCGATGATCTTGTCAAGCTGCTTGAGTGCGAGGGTTTCGCCACCACGGTGAGGAGTTGTCGCCGGTGGGAAGCCGAGTTCTTCAAGGGTCTCGACGGCAAAGTCACCCTTGGGCCCAGCAATACTCTTGTAAGCCTCGTCGGCTTTACTTCTCTGGGGCGCGTTCAGATCCGGGTCTGGGTCGGGCAGCTCTTGGTCGAAATCGATTGGCATTTCACCAGGGTCCGGCAATTGCTTCGGCGCGGGTATTGGTCTGGGGACCTCCCCGACCTTATTCCCAGCTGCTTGAAGCTGCGTTATAGACATTGTAGGTTTCCCGCCATTTTTCGAGACGATCTCATCTGGATCCCACAACGTTCGACCATACTTGGTCAACACCTCAACACCGGCCTGCTTAGCCAACTTGGCGACCTCCTGGTCTCGCTTGTCGGCATATGTATCGGTGTCTTTTTCGAAAACCAAATGTGTCACTTTCCAAGCTTTGAAGAGTTTCGGAAGAAGTGTCTGCGGGGCCTCGCGTATCACGAATAGCTTAGACTTGGGGTTGATTTTTGTGATTGACTCAGAGAGGTCATTTTGACAGTCAAGACTAAACACATCTCGTCAGTTCAGTGTGCCAACAAAGGAGAGACGACCCAAAATTGCCAGCTTACAGGTATTGCCATCTATTCACGCTTCCCTTCACATGGTATACATAATGGGGGTCCCATGTGAAGATGGGCCACAGGACGGCAGGTTCCAGATCAAGTGCGGCTTTCAGAGCCGGTGAATCGTGGAGACGGAGGTCAGTCCTGAACCAGTATATCACGCGTGGCTTGGTCATCTTCATAACAACTACCGTAAGGATACGGCAGGCCGTCTGGAGAAGAATCGAGCGTGCGACTGTTTACTTCGGGATGCATTCTTTCAGCATTCGATCCGCAGCTGGGCTCTGGAAGCTCAAGCTGCCAGCTAATGTACATGCTACCGAAGGCACTCTAGTCCATGATGTCAACACTCAGCCACAATGCGATTTCAGGACTAATTGTTATCGATGGCTCCAGCCATCTGTATTCAGCTCGGGAGACTTGGAAGCTCCAGCGGAGAGCCTCAACACTCATGTATGTTTCCATGTAGGTATCTAAAAAGGTTGTTGCGCAAAAGACCATATGACCCAACATCATTTAAGTGCCAGCTCATGTGACTGCAGCTTCGGTATCGCACTCACATCGCAGACCCGACCAATACCACCTTGAGCTACGGATAGACGGCAATACTTACTACATCATGGCTTATTGAAAGTCTCAGGAGGTAGCTAATGCTTTCACCCGTTCAAGCTCTTCAGGCGACTAAAGCAATTAGAAGCCACAGCGGTTGGTTCGATATCCTTGTGGACCAAAATGGGGATGGATACTTAGGTACATAAGGTAGTGGACGTCCATTCTGCGAGACCACCTGCAGTATTTGCTCGTCTTCTAGATGGGGGATTGTCAGAAGTCCCCACCCAGAGCACACCTTAGGTACTTTATGTACTTAACAGGTGTGCCACGAGGCCCAAAGACTGCTCATCTGCCCAAGACACAGTCAAGCCGGACTCCAAGCGGGTAATTAATCGCCTACATTAGCGCAGGAACAAACCAAGATCCGGTCGAAATGCCGGCCCCTGAAACACATGAACCCCCCCCGGTCCTCAGCAATTAACTGCCTTCACACGGGCTTTACAGTATCTAGAGTGTGCACGCAGCATGTGAGGAATGCTTGCTCATAATAATTGCATTAGTAGCTATGTAGCTCCTAGAGATCTCCTGGGAGATGCCAGGGTAGATACCCTTTACATTTGTGCTGGCGCCGAGCGCTTACCTACCTAAGGGTGTGCATTCTATTTTGTATGCATTACGATACTTGAGCTGGAGTACGTTCTTGCCTAACAATTTGCATATATTTCATCGCACTCAGTGCTGGTAGACATATGCTCCTTATCAATCGGGAATGCAACAATTGCCTTCCAGACACTTGGTTGAGAAGTATCTGTGGTGAGGTACCTACATGACTCGCGGCGGCAGCCACTTGTCGCAACCTACCTTCTCCTGCCTGTGTGCCCAAGGCAGGTACCTAATGCACGTACGTCCTGGGTATGTTGGCAGGAACCCTGTGTAGAGACAGACAATTAAGGGTCCGGACTCTACCAATCTTGAAGCTTTTGCAGTCTCGATGCTGCGCCCGAGGCTAGGTGTCTTAAGAGTCTGGTATCGCTTATTGGCATATACTGAGTATACATTTGTCTGGAGTCGCACAAGCAATTTGTCTGGACCCCAGATTGTGTAGCAGATACCTTACTTTTCTACTTACCATGTACCTATGGACACTGCTTTGTCTACCTGAGGTAGTAGGTATCTAGATGGGAGCCCATTTCATGTACATTGCATATCTGAGCGCGAGATATGTATCTGGGTACACTAGTGCAGCCGAAGCCATCTAACGCCAACCTGCCTTGCCCGCCCTGGCATTCTGTCGTTTCAACTTTCGAGCCAACCCGAATAATAATCATAATAAAAGCATCCCCACACAAACGCAGAGGATCCCCCTCGCTCCCCGTCCCCCTGGTTTAAGGCTCTAAGCTGGTCTAAGGTAGTAATCACTTTCAAGGGCTCTGCGTTTTTTTTTTGGGTACCTGTTCCAACCTGGATAATTCAAGTAGAGGTCTATCTACCGTTTCTCTCCCAATCACGAGTCAAACTGGGGCATGCATTGATCGACGCCCAGTACCTGCGTGTCATTCGTTCCCTTTCTTACCCTCAGTATAGTCGTTTCACCTTTGGTCCTGCGTCAACTTAATTCTTCAACCTTTCCCTCCTCTGTGTCCTGCTTAGCTGAATCTGAGTGCTTTGCCGACAGACAAGAAGATTGGACTCTTCATTATCATTGCTTGGCGAGCAGACCAC